TACGGGGTGCCCAGTGCCCGTTGCGGATGAGATCGGGCTGGGATGATCGCCCGACTCGTTACCTGAAAACAACGCGTTTCTTTTTGAGGCAATGAGTCGGGCGCGATCGATTGGTGCCACGATAGCCACTATGCGCCGTCAGTCTGTCGAGCAAACCGACCCGTCCCGACCTGACCAGGACCTCCCCAAAATAGTCCTGTTTGGACTGAATCATCTTCTACTTCTTCTTGATCTAGCTAAATCTAGACTCTAGATATCTATAATAAACTCAATCGTAAACACGATCGTCTGATTACTTAGCTTGCTTGGTACCATAGCACCAGGTAGATAGATCTAATATAAAAATTTGTGAAAGACTAAATCTTAGGCCAGGAGGATAGATCTAGACATGGATTGATTCATCCAGAAAACCCTTAGGGGACGTTCAAATATAATCTTACGCCTGGAAAAGGCCTAAAAGGGGGGGGGGGGGGGGTCTTGACTCCTGTAAAAGAAAAGTGTAAGAAGGGGGGAGGGGGGGGTCTTGAACCAATGTAATTTTCACTTTTGTAAGGTGAAAAAATAACAAGGAAAATAATTTATGACAACATAAATTTTTTAAGACAAAACATGACATAAAAAAGAGTAAACTCTGCTATTCACTTAGAAGTTTTTCCGGAAAAGTTCCGCTTATACCATATTTAATTATTACATGTATGTCACATGTATGATTTTAACACAGATTTGCACAATATAAATGTCATATTATTATAAGCGAATAAATATAAATATTACGGGATATGGGGGGGGGGGGGGGGATGTAAGAAAAATGTGAAAGGGGGGGGGGGGGGGCAAAAATCCCCCAAAATGTGTTAGATTATATTTAAACTGTTTTGGTACACCATACAACCTCCATACAGTTTTGTTTTACTACGGTAGAGATTCACATTTAACTTTTGATTTTGATCTAACAAAACTCACGTTGGTTACTTTGATTGCAATGAGCATACCAACAATGTGTTCCAATATATTCCATGACATTTTTAGCTCTGTACATGTCTTGCAACTTTTCTTGAAACTTTTTGCAACTTTTGCTATTTTCAAATTCCAACTTTCTCTAAGGAAACTAGAAGACTGACTGACTGAGACAACTTTTGACGGAGAACCTGGATACCTAGAGGTGTTATCTCTGGCTCAAAGGTTAGTGGTGAATGACCCACCAAGGGCTATGGTCACTATT